GCTATGTAGGTTGGAGGAACGTGTAGAAGAGGGAAAAAAAGTTGAATTGTGACTTTTTTTCTGATTGATTGTATTTACTAGAGCAGCTTTTATATTGTTTTTTATCTGCCCAAGTCTTACTGTCTTTTTTATCCCAAATTGTCCATTGATATAAATAGGTAGATTTTTGGGAATTTCCATCTTAAAGCATGGCTATCTATATCAGGGGTCCTCAAACTACGGCCCGCAGGCCCCATGCAAATACAAATATTGTATTTGTTCCCGTTTTGTTTTTTTACTTCAAAATAAGATATGTGCAGTGTGCATAGGAATTTGTTCATAGTTTTTTTTTAAACTATAGTCCGGCCCTCCAACGGTCTGAGGGACAGTGAACTGGCCCCCTGTTTAAAAAGTTTGAGGACCCCTGATCTATATTATAAAAGGCCAGTGGCCATAACACCGTAACAACCAAACGACCGGTCACCAGGAGGTGCATTGATGGGTCTCGTGGCGCGGCAGGTCTTGGTCTTATGGCGTAGTGTGGCAGGTCTGGGGTCTTGCACGCTGGGCCTCTAGTCTATAAACTAGTGGCCTGGTGCATGAATTTGTGCACATTAAAAGGAAATTAATTAGAAGAAATATTTTAATATCACTATTCACCCTTCCTCTATAATAGAAGTGTCAACCAAATTCATGATCAACAATGACAGATCAAAACACACATGTGCAATTGGTGCCAGTGAGAGCTTTATATGTATCATGCATGCGTGAGTCAACTTAGCCTTTTATAGATATAGAATAAACTTGCTTAATTAGACCTGCTTTCTGATTTAGCTAAACTTTTTCCAGCCCAGTGAAGCACCCCAACTTCTCTTTCAGGTAATTGTCAGCAACACAGCAGTAAATATCAACACGAAGCAGATTATTATTGTAGATCACGCAGGGAGAACAAAGGGTAAAATATTTAACTGCAGCAGTGTTTTACTATATTCTGCACAGTGAGAAAACCTGAAGTTATTTTTAAGGTCTACCATGTCTTACTTGTTTTCAGTCAGGTCAAGTTTCTAAGCTTTCTAAATCTCCGTTTTCTGGCTAATGAAAAGAAAATAGGATTCCACCGAGTCTCCTATCTACCTACTCCAGGACTTCTGTGAGGATCAAATGAGATAAGGCATGAGAAAAAGCTTCACAGACATTTGGTTACAGTGTAAAATGTTTCCACCTGACACTGAAGCAAGTTGTGTTCCTGGGCTGAAGAAACTCCAGGGAGGCTAGTTGCTAGAAGGAGGAAGCCGGACATTGCTATGTGACATCATTACCTGGACGGACACTTAGCATATTAGCCATATATATATATATATATATATATATATATATATATATATATATATATGTTATCACCTTGCCTAACTCTTCCTTCACCTCCAAATCAGCCCCTCCCCATGCTACTCTCATCCCAGCCCAAGAATTGTGCTAAGAGATTTAAAGATTAGGAGCTTCCTTGCTGTCTCCACCTCCAGTAGGTTCAGGGAAGGAGCAGTGCTTTGGTAGAATTAGAATTCTGGAATAACTTTTTCAGCCCTGAAAATTGGTAAACAACCCCACCCTGTTCTGGACACCTGTGAGGCACAAAAGCTGCCCATTGGCCCCCAGCATGAGCAGACAATAGTAGCAGGATCCATAATGAGTGATTCTGTTATATTTTGAAGTTCCCTGGAATAAAGTTCTCATTAAATATGTAAGCCTGTTGCTCACCTTTCACACATTAAGCTTTTAACAGCTTTTAGAATTCCAGGAGCCCCTGGATCATTGCTTTTAGGTGGGGCTTGTAGGGAGTTAGTGGTGTGGACCCCTTGTCACAACTTGCTCTCTCTCACTCATCCTGGAGTCCCACCCACCCTGTAATTCGTTTCGGTTTGTTCCAAGGAGACCCTAATAGGTTTAGGTTACGTTCTTGTTTAGAATGTGTGCACACTACTAGGTAAAAGGGTGTGGTTTCAACTAATGAGAAACTTCTCGAACTAGGTAGGTTATAGAGCAAAGTGCAGGCAGTAACTGGAGTTGTGTAATTCCCATCCAGCTCCACCCCTGCTCCTGAGCTCACATGCTGCACTGGGCTCCCAGAGAGCACATGGTACAGTGGAGTTTTTCTCAGATCACTCATTTGATTTTATGTTTTATGTTTAGGAGTGACAGACACTTTCCCTGTTTACTCTCTACACTGTCAGATTAGGAACTACAAGTATTTGCCACAAGACAACATAAAATTTAGTTCAGTGATGAAAAATCCATGACAACCTCAAAACATGTTTTCATATAAAGGGCCATTGTGAACCATAAAGTTGCTAATGATGACCTTTCAGTCACTGAGCTCTTTATAGTTTGTAAGAATTAAAGCAACTTCTGCTTCATTTGGGGTATTAAAAATCTGGGCTAGTTCAGAGAATTGTTTTCAACTAAAAAGTTTATTTCAATAGTTGTAAAATATGGAAAATGCCCTATATTCTATATTAAAGCAGAAATGTATTTTTGCCTTATACTGAATTCTTTCTTTCCTCTATTTCTTACATATCACATGCAGTTTTCTTTCTTAAAGTTGTTAGCTTTGGGAGGATGATTGAACTTGCTGGATTTTTCTTTAATTATTAAAAAAATTTTTAAGCTGCTTTGAAAAATAATGCACATACCACATAATTTGCCAATTTAAAGTGTACAGTTCAATAGTTTATTATATTCAGACAATCTAATTTTAAAACATTTTAATCACTTCCAAAAGAAACCTCATGCCCAAGTCATTCCCCATTGGCCCCATCCCTAGTCCTAAGCAGCTACTACCTCTGTCTCTATAGATTTGCCTGTTCTGGATATTTCATATAAGTGGAATTGGATAATATGTGGCTATATTATTTTCCTAGTTTTTTTTTTGTTTTTTTTTTAATAACAGATTACCACAAATTGGGTTGCAAAATTTACTTTCTTATGTTCTGGAGGCCAGATATCCAAAATCAAGGGATCGACAGGGTTTGTTCCTTCTGGGGGCTCAGAGGGAAAATGTATTTTATTTCTCTCTCCCAGCTTCTAGTGGTCACTGGCATTCCTTGGCTTGTAGATGCATCACTACAATCTGTCTCTGTGTTCCCATGCTATTCTCCATGTCTGTCTTCACATGGCCTTCTCATAAGGACACCAGTCCTTGGTTTAGAACCCTCCCTTATCCAGTATGATCTCATCTTAACTACTTTCATCTGCAAGGACCATATTTCCAAATAAGGTCACATTCTGAGGTTCTAGTGGGCATGAATTTGAGGGAGGGGGACTATTCAACCCAGGATAGTGGCCTTTGTGTTTGGCTTCTTTCACTTAACATAATTTTCTAAGGTTCATTCATGTAGCTTGTATCATTCCTCTTTTATAGTCAGTAGTACTCTGTTGTATGGACATACCACACTTTACTCATCCCTTCATTTGATAGACATTTGGGTTGTCTCCACATGTTAGTTATTATGAATATGCTGTTATGAAAATTCATGTACAAGTTTTTGTGTGGACATGTTTCATTTCTCTTGTTTAACTTTTATATCTGCCAATTATGATGAATATATTTATATCACTTGTGGTAATAGCTATTAGTTATTAAAATTCTTGTTCATTTTCTGTCTCTTGCATTTGCTTTGCATTTCAATGACTTTTCAGTAAGTCACCTTTGGGGAATTAATTATGTTTTGTGGGGATTAGGCTTTTTTCCTTTCAAACCTGTTGGCATTGGAAAGAAAGCAATCTAGTCTTTCACTTGCTAACCTCTGATTAATGGCTGATTTGTACCCTGCCTTGTTTTTATAATAAATAGTAACATCTGATTGTTTAAACTATTTTGAAAGCACTTTCTCTTTGCTAGATCATATAACCTTCCTTGCAATCCTGGGAGACCTGAGGCTGCTCTTTTCTGGCTGCTAAATTTGGGATCCTGTTGAATTCCTTTTACAAGAGCAATTGGAATGTAACTGTGTCACCAGAGGATGTCCCTCATCCCTCAGTACCACCGATCTGTTATTTCTAGATGCTCTTTTCTCCAGGTGCAGAGAACATGTATTAGCCACAAGGGAGAGCTCAGTAGCCTAAACCAGTGTCCTCAAACTCTAGCCTACATCAGAATCACCTGGAGGGCTTGCTGAAGTGCAGAGTGCTGGGTCCCCACTATAAGTTTCTGATTCATTTGGTCTGGGGAGGGGCCTGAAAATGCATTTCTAACCAGGTTCCCACTGATGCTGGTGCTGCTGATCCCAGGATCACATTTTGAGATAGGCCAAGACAACTAAATGTATTTATCATTTTGGGTAGCCTTCAACGAGGCCTTCTTAAAATTTAATGTGCATATGTGTCACCTGGAGGCCCCTTTAACTGGTCCTGATTCAGTAGGCCTGGGAGTCTTCAGAGTTGGTTCTAGCCAGCTCTCAGGTGATGCTAATGCTGCTTTGAGTAGCAGGGTTGGAAGAGTAGCCATATGCTGTCCTCTGCATGGGTAGATCTTTGTTTTTATAATCTAATAACTACATGAAGTAAACTTACCAGGTTTAAGCAGATGAACAGTTATATACCTTATAACAGGTAGTGGAAGGAGACTTTGCAAATCACATGGTAATTCTGGGAAACAAACTCAGAGGCCAATATGGCCCAAATTAGACCCAAAGAGTACATGGTTTAGACTTGTGTCATAATATTTGGAGTAAATTAAAGTTTTCTAGTGTGATCTTTTAAATGTATGTTTCTAGGTTCTGAAATGAATGTTTACAGGTCCTGTGATTAACCAGAAGAGATTCTTATAGGAATTCTAAATTCATTCTTCTAAATTAATGGAGTTCTTTTTGTTTTTCTTTGTCTCAGCTTCTTGACAAAATAATGTAGACTTGATTGTATCAACTTTAGGGCTTTATTCTGCATATTTTATACTTATCACCTATAAGGACTGTTGAAAACAAAATAAACATTCTATAAAACTAATTTTTAAATTATTCTCTTGGCAGATCACTGACAACCTTGGGGTTGGTTATCTCATCACTGGCTGACCAGGCAGCTGGCAAGGGTAAAAACAAATTTGTGCCTTATCGAGATTCAGTCCTCACTTGGCTTCTTAAGGTAATTCAGCATCCAGTGTTTTTTCCCAACTAAAAATTAGCTATGTCAGAGGTGACAGCTGAAACGTGTGTGCAAAGCTAAATGTACAATGAACACCTGACAATATTGTATTGCTATCCCAAGTCCTAGGAAGACAGAAAGAAAACTAATTTCCATTGCCTTTTATTTCATTATAATGTTTGATGGACATTATTCATTGTTATGAATATAGAGAGACCACACTTCATCTTGTCATAAAATTATTTGTGAAATACAAACCCATTTCCATAGTATCATGCATGCATGTTTACTGCTTTCATCATACAGGTTGTGCATGAAGTGCTATTTCCTAAGATGCTGTTTGAAATTTTGCAGGACAATTTGGGAGGCAACAGCCAGACCTCTATGATAGCCACCATTAGCCCAGCAGCAGACAACTATGAAGAGACCCTCTCCACATTGCGATACGCAGATCGAGCCAAAAGGATTGTTAACCATGCCATTGTGAATGAGGATCCCAATGCAAAAGTCATCCGGGAACTGCGGGAGGAAGTCGAGAAACTGAGAGAGCAGCTCTCGCAGGCTGAGGTAATGTACATTAGAAGGAATATTGTCAATAATATTGTAATAACTATATATGGTGACAGATGAGTACTAGGCGTATTGCAGTGAACACTGTGTAAGGTATATAAATGTCTACTCACTGTATTGTACACCTGAGACTAGTATAATATTTTAAGTCAACAATAATTTAAAAATAAAAAATCAGCCTGGTGCTCCCTGTTTCCGAAGTTTCTGCCTTGTGATATCTGAGTGGTAAGGACATGCTTGCTTGCAGTTCTAGGTCATCTCCACGTGGCTCAACATTTCAGTGTTGATTGGCGTCTGCTACGTGCTAAGCATTGTGAGGACAACATGAGTAATACCAGACTTCTGTGCTAGGAACCTATAGTGGAGGAAGCAGACAATTAAGAAAGAGTTGTTGCTACTACCGAGTTGTTTGCTGCAGGAAATCAGTGGCCCTTGAGGGCACAGGTCTCTTCCAATGTGAAATCCTAAGAACCAATTGTGATGTTTTATTAAGATTGTAGACAGAATTCCCAAAGGGCTCTGCAGTTTTCAGATAAGTTAGTTGTGTGTCATCTCCACCTTAAGTCATGGAAGATAGCATGATCAAGGATAATTAAATATTAGGAATAATTCAGAAATACGTATTTTTAAAATTTATATTAGCTCCTGAGAGGAAACAACATTGTGCATTGTTGCCATCTTTCCTCCACTTTACCCAGACTTTAATAATCGCATCCTCTTCCAAATAGCTGTTGCTTTAGGCAAGTTACCGGGTGATGCACTATCCCCTTTGAAATAGGTAGTGTGCCTGAGGGGGAGCCAAGTTCCTTAGGTTAAGTCACATGTGTCCACTTGCCGGATTTGGGTGTGTATCTCAGGCTTCTGAGTTCACATTCCACACACCACCCTCTTCTGGTGGTTGGGAGACTATCAGGGTGGAGTATTTGTGTACTTGTGTACCAGGCACTGTTTAAATACTACTTTTTATCTATTGGCTTATCTAATCACCAAAGTAATCAAAAGGAGATAACACAAAAAGGAGTAAAGCCAGAGATCTGAGTACTCCATTAATTAACTGGCAGTTGTATTATAATTTTTTTGTTTACATGTCTTTCTCTTCTCTCAGACTGTGAGCTTCTATAGTTCAAAAAACCTGTTTTATTAAGTTTTTTCATTTCTAATCCTAGTAAAACACTGATAGTGGAAGGCACTTAGCACAATGCCTTGCACATAAGTGCTCAACACACGTTGCTGTTATTATTATGATCGTTATAATCATCAGTCAGGGCATCAAGCATAATGTTTTTCTATTGATGCCATGAAGAGTAGCAAACACCTGAAAAACCAAAATGCTGATAACCTTTGAAGAGAGTACTGATCCTGGGAGGAAAGTGTAATGCGTCTGGAATTTGTTTAAGGTGGATGCTCTACTTTTTTCCTCTAGTCTCTGAATCTGCCATTTCACTGTGACCATGCCATCTAGGCCTGGTGGGTAGCACAGTGCCTAGCCCAGTGATTCCCAAAGTGGGCGCTACCGCCCCCCGGTGGGCGCTGCAGCGATCCAGGGGGGCAGTGATGGCCACAGGTGCATTTGGGGGCGATGAGTAACTGCTATTAAAATTTAAAAAAAAATTAATTTCCAGGGGCTGAGTAATATTTTTTCTGGAAAGGGGGCAGTAGGCCAAATAAGTTTGGGAACCACTGGCCTAGCCAAAGGAGAGAGGAGCCACAGCAGGTTCACCTAGAACAGGGGTGGGCAACCCCTGGCACGCGTGCCAAACATGGCATGCCAGTAACTTTTGCTGGCACACGAAACCCTCTCTTATAATCTTCCATTTACAATTTTTTTCTTAATATCAACTTTTTTATTTTTCAGATAAATTCAGTGTAGGTGCATCTTAGATAAATAAATAATTTTACATAACACGTTATCTTAAAGACCATAGACATGGATTGACGAGAGAGGGGAAGAGCAATTTCTATGCCTCTGTCTTAACTCTCCCTGCCTTCCTAGATCCGACCAGTGTTTTGGTTTCATCCACATACGCTTGTGAATCTTTGTTCTCAGTGATGAATTTTGTTAAGTCTCGTAACAGGAGTAGCCTGACGGATGAAAGTAATAGCTCGTGCATATCTCTGAAGGTCACGAAATATAAACCTGATGTAAAATCTCTGTCATCAGTGATGCAGCAGCAAAAGTCCCACTGATAATATCAAACGGAATCATAAAGTTTTCTGTCGGACTATCAGTGTACATGTATACATTAAAAAATAAATGTATTTTTCAGCATTATATACTGTGTTTTTGTCGCTCGAATGAATTTTATTATTTCTTCAAGGTTCTTCACATATGTTCACCTTAAGAGATATCAAGTAGACATAACATGTTCTCAAAAAATTAGGGTTGGCACACAGAAGAATTTTGAGTCAGAGATTTTGCTGGTTTTGGCATGCACTCACAAAAAGGTTGCCCACCCCTGACCTAGAATGTTCCCGTGTGTCTCCAGCACCAAATGTCCATCTCAGGCTCTATTAATACTGAAACTCAGACATACTCAGCTGGCCCCCAGGTAGATCATCGCCCCTTCAACTTCTGTTCCAAGCTCTTGTTCATAGGGTTCATAGAATTATACTGATGTTATCATAGGATGTCGAAGTGTATTGTTTCAAGTAAAGGCTTCCCAAGATTTACAAGCTGCATATATCTGTATTTAGACCACTTAGTTATTCTCATTGGACAAACTCAGAGGGAAATTACTGCTTTTTTAACCAGATGTCTGGCTTCCAAGTGAATAATAAATACACTAAGTTTATGCCACCAATAAGAAAAGTAGTTTAAAGGGCCTGATTCAAATTTTAAAATAAATGAGAGGAATCTTCACCTTTCCTGATAGGTTAATGTAACTGGAATGCCTTTATTGGTGATGTGCCTTGATCTCTGTCTTATTGAAAAAGAAATCTGCTTAAGTAACCTCTTTTCTTACTTTCTGTTTTGAAGATGAACTTTAGTATCTTTTAAGTCTTTAAATGCGAAATTTAAGTATGATGGGTAAAATTACTCTGTAATGATTTCTATCAATTTAATTCAGAGCACTAGTATTTCTTTTTCTCCTTTAAATAATAGCAGTCATTTGCCTCTTACATTTCATTTGATTAATCAAGGTCTAAACTCCACCCTGACAGTGTGTGACTTTATTGCTTCCAACAGACTGTTGATAACCGCTTAAGAAAGACAATAAGTGATTGTCTTGTTATAATGGTGGAAAAAAATTAGAAAATCAGATCGCTCTGGTTTCATTTTAAAGGCTATGAAGGCCCCTGAACTGAAAGAGAAGCTTGAAGAGTCTGAAAAGCTGATAAAAGAACTAACAGTGACTTGGGAAGAGAAGCTGAGGAAAACAGAAGAAATTGCACAGGTAGCTTGATAATGTAGGCCTAAAACATTGTGATTTGTTTCCATGTGCTGTCTTTTCTGTACTGTCAGTCACTTGTCATCCTCAAAAAGTCTTTTGAGAACCTCCTTCTGCTGAACTACAAGCTGCAGAGACCAGTTAGACACTGGCTTTATGTCTTTGACCAAGTACAGTTTGGTCCATGCATTTGCTAGAAGTATTGGATAGCACTGAATTTGAACAGGGATGGCACAGGAAATTATTTTTAATATATTTTTATTGATTTCAAAGGGAAAGGGAGAGAGAGATAGAAACATCAATGATGGAAGAGAATCATTGATCAGCTGCCTCTTGCACACCCCCTACTGGGGATCGAGCCCGCAACCCGAGCATGTGCCCTTGACTAGAATTGTACCCGAGTCCCTTTCAGTCCACAGGCCGAAGCTCTATACACTGAGCCAAACCAGTTAGGGCAGAAATATCTTTAATATTTCCTGCTTTTCACATTTAAACAAAAATCTGTTCTGATTCTAGATCACTTGGCATAGCACGTGGCTACCTGATTGACAGAGAATTGGTAACATACAGAGCATCATAGTTTGTTCAGTGTATAAGACTCTTTGGACTTGATGCTATCTGAACTTAACCTGAGATAAAATATAAAGCAAGGACTAATTCTGCTCGTGTCTTTGCCAATCAAGTAGCTTGAAAGCAGTAACTGGGACCTAGTCCAGCTGTTTGCTTATATGTTTCTATATATATTTTCCTTCTCTCTGTCTCTGTCACACATATACCTATCTTCCTGTCCCTCTTACATTGCTTTATATTTTTCCATAGCACTTAACCCCATTGGAAATTATATATATTTACCCATCTGTTTTTTTTATGGCCTATCTTCTCTCACTAGTATATAAGTTTTCATGAAAGAGGGGACTTTGTTTTGTTTGCTGTAATATTCTTAGCCCTAGGTCAGTACCTAGTACACAAATGTCTTGAGTGAGTGAGTGAGTGAGTGAGTGAATGGATGAATGAATTCAAAGCCCTCTGCAATAGGGACCCAATCTGCTCTTCCAGCCCCATCTCTCACTACTTTCCCATATTTACTAGGGGTTCTTGGCACCTGGAATCCTCCAGTATTCCCAGAGTCTTTACTATGCTTTTCTGTGCCCTTCCCCCAGAATATCCTGCCCTTATCTTGCTACTCCCTGATTTCTTCCTGTTGAAATTCTTCTTACGCTTCAAGAACCACCTTAAGTTTTTTCTCTATCTGGAGCCTTTCTGGTCTCTTCACCCATCATGACCTCCCGTCTGCAAAGCCCACAGCACCTTCTTCCTCTCTAGTGGCACAGAGTTCTCTCTCCTCTTTTGACTCCAGTTATATGGTCTTCCCACTCTACTAGATGGTAAGCCCCATAAGGGCAAGATGGTGTCTGGTTCACCCTTGGTGCCCCCAGAACACTGACACAGATGTCACACATTTTAGACCATAAGAAACTTGGTTGAGCTGAGTGGAATGTGTAATTTCATTGGCATTGTCCCCAGAAACAGTGACTTACACTTTCCATGGATACATCTGGTGACTAGAACAACAAATAGAGTTCCCTGTTTTTGTCTGCTTTGTGCACAGGAGAGACAACGACAACTTGAAAGTATGGGGATTTCCCTGGAGACATCTGGTATTAAGGTGGGAGATGACAAGTGCTACTTAGTCAACCTGAATGCAGACCCTGCTCTCAATGAACTTCTGGTTTACTATTTAAAGGTAAGAGGGTATATAAATACATAGCTGCAATCCTGATTCATTCATGTACAATTCGAAATTGAATCTGGGGATCTGTCCCCATGATTTTGATTTTTGGATCCAGCTTAGCCCTTCTTAAAAGTAAGAGGATTCATAGTATGGTCAGGTCACTATTGAGAATGAAAACCAGCTATTGTGTATTTTCCTGATGCCGTGCAGTTGGGACTGGTTTTCTGTGAGCATGAGCATCAGAGGGCCAGTAATGGGCAACTGGGGGTGTCAAGGTAGGTGATCTCTGGCTGTAGCGACACGGATGCTGACAATATTCAGGTTCAATCACAGAGATCCCGAGAAGTTCTGGAGAGTCACAGTTAGGCTTCTGAGCAATTCTAAGGCGATCTCAAGATGAACATAAGCTAAAACAAACTCTTGTGGCAGACAGCTAGGGTTCTTCCATATCTATCTCTTCTAGACATACATCCTCAGAAAGTAATGTTTGGTCCCATAATCACCATTTAGTGTGGAGAAGGGATGGGGCCTTTTGAATTTGGCACTTTGGCCCCACGGTATCCACTGACCATGTTGGATAGCTTACTGTATCCATCCTCAAACTTTCACAACCCATTTACACTCTTTAAAAATGTATCAAGGACTCCAAAGAACTTCCGTGTATCAGAGTTATATCTATCTATACTTACTGTATTAGGTAATATAGAAACCATTTAAAAACACAAACATGTACAAATATACAGTCCATTAATCTTCAAAGCCACGCATCTCACCTCCTGTAGCCTCTGGAAAACACTGTGTACTTGTGATAAAATGAGAGCACAAAGGCAAGTAGCATCTTAGTATTTTTTTAGAATAGTTTTGACCTCATGAGCCCCTTGAATGGTTCTCAGAGACCCCACATATTCTCAAATCATACTTTTAAAAATGCTGGCATATTTTGTTAAGGGAAAAGCAAGACGTAGGGCACTCAGCTGAGCATGAGGCCATTTTTCATTATATACAAACAATTTCTGAGTTATGGTGGTATATAAATGTATGTATATACATATTTAAATAATTGTCAAAGACTTGAAGGCAGCTTGTATATACTGTCCATACACATAAATCTCCAAATAAAGAGAAATTACCCCTTGTGAAGATTAGGCACCTTGTTAAGGATTCTGATCTGCAATGGGGAATAAGCTAGAATTGAAGCAAGGAGCTCAGTCTTCTATCCTCCTTTTAATTCTACTTATAGCACAAATACCTGACTTGTTGAGAGTCCAGTAACACTTAAGGATCTCTTCATTCAGGAAATGATTTAGGGGAAAGGCATTGTTTCTGAAATCTTAATTTTGAGAGATCAGGCCTTATGCTTTCTCGGTGGAATCGAGAGTATTGTTATCATAATAGTTAAATGATTTTTAGAGCAAAAGAAAAGGCAAAGGGGATGAGCAGTGGTCTGAATAACTAGGAATCACAGTTCACGTACATGTGAGGTTTGGGGTCCTTAACACCACACTAAACTGAACATTGTATAACTTACAGGTTTCACTACTCTATTAATATTAGTAGTAAATACTCATCTATTTTTAACATGTTAAAAGTTATATATTTTAAAGTATAACTTTCCATGAAATTACTTTTAGTGGTTCTTGAATTTATATAATTGTTTCCAAAGCACTTTCACTGTTAACTCAGGTGATCCTTAAAAGAATCCTGTTAAATAAATCAAGTTGATATTATTATCCGGTTTTGTAAAACAGGAAACTGAGGCTCAGTGAAATGGCTTGCCTGTGGCCACATACATACTAAGTTGTCAAGTTAAAATCAGAACACAAGTTATTCTGTCAAGTGTGAGTTCCTTATATTTTAAAGCAGTATCTAATCATTGTTGATCAGCCCCCTCAATCCTGTTTTAACATTTTTTTAAAAAATATAGCATGTTAAGTTAAGGTGAGCTTTTACTTACAATGCTCTAGACATCTTGCATCTTCTGTCTGATTCATTTGTCATGTAGTTGCTGTTGGATTATTGAAATTGACTGTGATAAGTTTTTGTTAAGTTACTTGTCAGTGTGGGTTTTTACTTTTTTTTTCAAATTATAAGAGAAAGGTTATATAGAAAGTTACAAAGGTAGTTGAAATTAGCTAGTTGGGCTGTATAGGCTCAGGAAACAAGTTACAGAAGCAAAAGAAGGGGAAAGGGAGAGGGAGACCGAAATGCACTAGGAGTGCTCCTGAAAGCGGCGGTTTTTACTTTCTTTAATACTCTGTTCCTAGGACCACACGAGGGTGGGAGCAGATACCTCCCAGGACATCCAGCTCTTCGGTATAGGAATCCAGCCTGAGCACTGCGAGATTGACATCGCCCCCGACGGCGACGTCACTCTTACTCCGAAAGAAAATGCAAGGTAAGGAAAGTGAGTGGTACTGAACATATCACGTGTGCCTTATTTTCAGAAGGAGAAGACTGCCCCTTTCTATGTTTTACCTCACTTATGTCAAAGTTAAGGCTACAGTGGGTCCTCGGGTATCGCTTTCCGGTTATGGAGCTGGATAGCATCAAGTCCTGCACCAGCTTTGGGGCAGGCTGATTCTGCCTTGACTAGCTGGGCGGACTTTGGAAAACACACATCGTTTATCTAAACTTCAGTTTTCTCTTATGGTTAGTGAGGCCAATTGTAGACAAAACATGTAAATCCCTTGGCTCAACACATGACACATAATAAATATCAAATGAAATTAGTTGTTACTCAGTTTAACCATTGTGTAAAACCAGTTAAAAGCTACATTGTTTTTGAAAAATTATTAAACTAGGCTATAATATGTAAAAAATTGAGAATTGACAGGACAATATATTTACATTTTTTATTTCTATTAAATGATATTAACAAATATTGTAATTCAGAACATTCATATTTATGAGGAAAATGTTTTACTCATTTCAAATTATTCTCTTAATATTGACCATATAAATGTCTAAGTGATAAAAAAAAAACTGAGACTAATAATAGCATACCTGGTGCATGAACATTTATAGATCTTATAGTGATACTAGAGGCCCGATGCACGAAATTTGTGCAAGGGGCTCAGCCCTCGCAGTCCCAGCCGGCCCTCACAGCCCTGGCTTCGTCCAGAAGGTCATCTGGACGGTCGTCTTGAAAGTTGTCCAGATGGTCGTTCTGCTGTTCTAATTAGCATATTAGCTCTTTATTGTATAGGATGATCATTAAAATATTTAATGGTGAGATGATACTATTCCTTAATTTTACTTATTCCAAGTTCAAATAGTCTTTAGCCTTATACTATATCCTCCTCTATTAGAGGCTCTGAGTGTGTTTATAATCCTTACCCGAGGATATGTTTCTTTGATTTTTAGAGAGAAAGAGAGAGAGAAAAACATTAATGCAAGAGAGAAATATCAGTTGGTTGCCTCCTGTATGTGCCTGATGACTGGGAATCGAACCTGCTACCTAGATGTGACCCCGACCAGGAACCGAACCTGCAGCCTTTTGGACGACACCCCAACCAACTGAGCCACCCAGCCAGGGCTGGATTTTTTTTTAATACCCTTTTTTTTTGGCTTTATTGAAATACTAGGGGCCAGTGCACAAATTCGTGCTCCTTGAAAGGAACTGTGGGCCACGAGGCTGTGGTGGGCACATGGGTGGGTTTCGGCCATCCTCTGTGCCCCCACCCAGCCCCTCCTGCCATGGCCCCTGGTTCCATGTCTGCTGGCAGCCCCACCACTGCCACCACTGCTCCCATGTGCTGATGGCGCCGGCCCCACTTGCACCTGCTGATGGCATGGAGCAGGGGAGGTGGAGAAGCCCTCAGGGGCAATCAGGGCTGGCAGCCACCGCTCACACCTGCTAACGGTAGCGGGTGCGAGCAGCAGTTCCAGCACCAGCTGCCAGTGTGAGTGGGGCTGGCGCCGGCAGCTGGCAGTGAGTGCGAGTGGTGGCTCCAGTGCCGGAAGCGGGTGCAAGTGGGGCCGGGGCCAGTGCTGGCAGTGGGTGCGAGCGGGGCTGGCACCGGCAGCAGGTGCAAGCATCCAGCAGGACCATGGCACGCGGGAGCAAAGAATTTTCAGTAAACCACAAGAGGCTCACCCCGATGACAGCGACCAGCGCCCTGCCTTGGTCTGGCGACCCCGCTCACCTGCTCCACCATCCCACTGTGTCCCACGCTCTCCACCTGCTGCCGACACCCGCCATGTTCCACGTGCGCCCCCTGGTGGTCAGCGCACGTCATAGTGACTGGTTGTTCGGTTGTTCCATCCTTCAGTCTATTTGCTTATTAGGGTTTTATACATATATAGATAATCTATAATAATAAAAGCATAATATGCTAATTAGACCAGACATCCTTCTGGACGACCTTCCAGACGAAGCCGGGGCTACGAGGGAAGCCTGGGTCTCGGGTGCCTGCCGGTGGCTGGAGGGAAGCCCGAGTCCCGGGTGCCAGAAGGAAGCCCATGCCGGCAGCCTGGGGAAGGCAGGCCTACTCATGCACGAATTTCATGCATTGGGCCTCTAGTTAACAAATAAAATTATATATATGTACAATGTGCAACATGATGGTTTATTCATATTCTCTTCAAACACTATCTAAAAAATGATTTTAATCAGCAAATTATTTTACCCAGTTTTAATTCCAATTTCATGTCTTTTTATCCTATTCTTCTTTTTCCTCCCACCCTGCCCAATCTCTTCTCTTCCTGGAACCTCAGGGTAGCAGTTCACTCATTCAGCATGCTCCAGGCTCTGTGCTGGGAATGCCCAACTATAGGAATCCAAAGCCTGGTGGAAGAGAATGTATAGAAACAATATTTCATAGGAAGCAATTATTATACAGGAAGATAATGCTTTTTCTAAAGTGATCTTTATAATCTGCAAATCTGATCACTGCAGAAGTGTGGGGTGTTTGTAGGACTGGAAGTGTGGGGAGGTCAGGTAGGGTATTTATTATAATGTTGCTATGGGTACACAGCAAGTGGCAGTAAAGGTGAAGAACAAAATGTACTTGAGAATTATTTGAAAGTCAACAAGTTTCAGTGATCTACTTGGGGACAGAGTGGGGACTCAGTGAAGGAAAAGGAAAGTCAACAACGATTACAGGATTTTATCTTGGGAGACCAGATAAACATAAACAATGGTGCCACTAAACCAAAATAAAAAATACAAGAGGAGAAATCCATTTGGAGAATGATAGGTCTGAGTGATAATGAGTTCAGTTTGGGATACTTTGAAGTGTCATTGGGATGACTACATGGAGACATCTAGTAGGACATTGGATTTAGAGCTATAGAGCTACTAAAGATAGAGAATTTGGGCATTATCAGTATAGCCTCTCGAGACTGTGTAATGTGAGAATTAAACCAATGTTTTGGGAATGGTCTGAGGATAGTCCTTGATGGAGGCTGAGACAAGGGAGTCAATAGAGGTAACAGCAGGATACAGTCTTCGGAGCTAAGGGAAGAGAACATTTTAAGGAAGGAGAAGTCAAAGTAGAAGCTAGAAAGACTATTGGATGTGGCAATTAGGAAGACACTAGCAACCTTGGGGTATTTAGGTACTATGTAGTTCTGGGTATGGAAGGAACAATGCAAAGAAAAGTGAATGTTTGGTAAGGAAGTGAGTCAAGAGTCTTCGTTGTGAAGATGGAAATAGGAATGAGGACATACTGAGAGGGACAGGGGGTTAAGGGACTGTCATTTCTTCAAACCTATTTTCAAGACCACTGATTCTCTCTATAGTTCTGTCTTGCCTGCTGCTTAATCATTCTATTAAGTTCTTAATTTAGTGTCTTTGTTTTTCATTTGTACAAGTTTTGGAGATCCATTTTCAAATATGTTCTCTATTGGTAGTCTTGTTTTTGATCCATTGTATGCCGTTAATGATTTTCACATATTTTATTGTCTTTGATAATTTTGTTCTTTGAAGTTGTTGGGGCCTCAGTCTGTTATATCTAATGAGAAGTTGGCTTCCTAAAGCAGTTTGTGATTTTTTAGATTCATTCATCTTCAGCAGTTTATCTGTAGGAGTATCATGGCTGGGTGAGGGTACATAAATTCCTGCGAAGAGGTTTAGTATTTGCTTTTTCCAAGCATATGTCCACCTAGAAATTACTTTTTATGCTAATTTCTTGGCTTAGGTACACTTCTAAACCAATTAGTTCCCTTAACTTTTTCTTTTTTATATTATTGTAATAAGAGCATATTATAAATGGCAAAGTGATATATGTGTGTTCAGGGGCACCCATGTGTGTGCATGTGTGCGTGTGTGTGTGCATGCATGTGAGTATATACCTAGACAGGGTCCTCTAAAGATTATCACAAAAGTTAGCAATATGTGAGGCAAAGCCTATTGTCTGCCCCTCTCATTTACTCTGGAACTGTTCTTAGTTTCATTCTAGAATAACACTGCCCAGTAGAACTTTCTGAGATAATGGGAAGATTCTATACCTATTAAGACCACTTTGGTGACCACTAGTGACATGGTGCTCTTGAGCATTGAAATATGGCTAGTGAGAATGAGGAACTGAATTTTTTAAATTATAATTCTGAGTTTAAAATAATAAAGTGCACAGAGTGACACATTTCTAGTATTGACCATACTGCTATCTCTAGAATTTCTGAAGGAATTTAGATACCTTAGGAAACTATATTTTCTGTAAAAAGTGACTAATGAGCCCTGGCCTTTTTTCTCAGTGGTTAGAGCATTGGCCCGCAGATCAAAGGGTCTGGGGTTTGATTCCCAGACAAGGGCACATACCTCGGTTGCAGGTTCTATCCCTGGCCCCAATCGGGGCGAGTGTGAGAGGCAACCAGTCGATGTGTCTCTCTCACATTGATGTTTCTCTCTCTCCCCTTCTCTCTCTTTTTTTTTCTCTCTCTCCCCCCTTTCACTCCCCCTCCCTTCCATTCTTTTTCTAAAGATCAATGGAAAAAATATAGTCAGGTGAGGATTTAAAAAAAAAAAGTGACTAATGAATTTTCGTTTTTTAGGTAGAAAAGTATGCCATAAAACTTCTCAAAAAAAAAAAATCTTATCATCATTTGACAAAAATGTGTACATGTATATGTATATATGTGTAGATATATATATATATATTCTTATCTCATTTTCCAGTTAGGCAGATGAATAAATTAGTCCATAATTCCAAATATATGGGACACAAGCTTTTGAAGCTCGAATTACAATGATGAGAGTCAATTGGTTAATAAGAATAGAGGGAACCACATCCAGCCGGCATGACTCAGTGGTTGAACATCGACCTATGAACCAGGAGGTCATGTTTAAATTCCCAGTCAGGGCACATGCCTGGGTTGCCGGCTCAGTCCCCAGTGTGGGGCATGCAGGAGGCAGCCGATCAATGATTCTTTCTCATCATTGATGTTTCTGTCTCTCTCACCCTCTCCCTACCTCTCTGAAAAAAATTTTTTAAAAAAGGAATTGAGGGAACATGTTAGTGTAAAATATGCACACCAAGGTTTTATCATGTTTGTGCATGACAGATTACAAAAATTTAAGACACTATTTCCAGAGTATTTTTATAAATAAAAACCTAGCCACTTGAATTTAAATGTTACTACAGAGGAGTTATGATTTCCATATGTGAGTTCACTTCTTCCATAACTCTGCTTTAGAGTCCTATAAGTATTAGGAGCCAGATAATGATATAGGAGAAAAATAATTTATTGAAAAATTAAAACTCAAAATAATATTCATTATTATCCTCCACCAAACATCACCTGACAGTTTTTAGTACATTAAATTTTAATTAATTAATTATCCCCCTTATTTTTTGTTTTGTTTTAATATACCAGCAAAGTCTCTTTTTGTTTGTTTTTTTATTTTGTATATAGTCATCTTTATTATACTTCATAAATATATTAGAAATGGATCTTTAATTAAAAGACATCCCGATCCTCACGGGCTTCTGCTTTCTGTTCATTCAGCTGTGCAGTTAGAAAATCAACTTTGAGGATGGAAAAGGCCAAGTATCATTTTAGTTTTAATTTTTTTGCCCCCTAGATCCAAGGACCATACGTCTTAGTAGACCTGCCCATGTTCATTCCCTTCTGTAATTCCTTATAAGTTTTAATGAAACATTCTATTAGTCTGCCAGTTAATACAGACCTGGGGCTATGACTGAGAATTTGCATTTCTGTCCTCCTGTTCCCTTGTTTATGCCAAAGGACAGTTACTTACTTACCTTCCAAAAATAGTTATCATCACTTTACCAACTCTCTCTGTCACATGGAGGACCCAAAAAGCATTGTCAGCTGCCAAAAAGTACAGTGAGGCTCCTCTTCTTTCCCCAAATCAAGTTATTTGGAATCTTGACTGAAGGCAGACACCATGAATGTAGAGCAAAGGTCTTCCTGTAAAAGCCAAAATCTCTTTCTCAGGAAACATTTATGAAAAGACCAGATTTTCAGCATTAAAAATTCTGGAGGACTTTTCCTTTTCTCATAAAAAATGTCACAGTGACTCTTTTTTAACCCTGTGAAAGGATCAGTTGATAAGATCTAATATGAAAGCTTTTCCAGTGGGTTATGCAGGCTGCTGACATCATAGCCCCTTGATAGTAAGCTGTAATTGAGTTGCAATGTCAGAAAAGCTGCCACTGCTGAAAGATCACCTATGAAGGTCCACAGGGCCAAGTTACCTATTCAAAGTTTGTTTTAGACAAGTCAGAGATGGACAGGCCAACACAGACCCATTTATAGCAGGAGTGGGGAACCATTGTTCTGCCAACAGCCATTTGGATATTTATAACATCATTCGCAGGCCATACAAAATTGTCAACTTGAAAATTAGCTTATTATATTTGGTCAAGCATTTAATTAACTCACCCCTAATGTCTTGGTAGGGACAGACCAAATGATTTTGAGGGCCTTCTATGACCCTGGACCGAACAGAATTGCTCCTCCCCACTCCCAGTTGTTAGTTTTGCTTTACAAGATGTTTGGTTACTATTTTGGATTTAAACATGGTATTCTTTTTATGTTTTCCTTGTGGAAAATTTTAAAGATATGAAAGTGAAAAGCATGGTATAACGCATCCCATATATCCATAATTCAGCTTCAAAATGAGCATCTTATAGACAATTTTGTTTTATTTACATGTCCTCCACATCTCTTCCTTTCTCCCCTCTGGGTTATTTTAAAGCAAATCGAGATGTTATATCTTTGCATTCATAAATATCTCAGCTTGTGTCTCTAAAATATGAATATTCTTGCCCTAGCTGGTTTGGCTCAGTGGATAGAGCATCGCCTGCAGACTGAAAGGTCCCAGGATCAGTTCCAATCAAGGGCACATGCCCAGATTACAGGCTCGATCCCCAATAGGGAGCATGCAGAAGGCAGCCAATCAATGATTCTCCATCATCATTGATGTTTCTATCTCTCTCTCTCTCTCCCTTCCTCTCTGAAATCAATAAAAATATATTTTAGAAATAAATAAAATAAAATATGAATATTCTTAAACATCACTTTAATACCATTACACCTAAAGTAAGTAACAGTAATTTCTTCCTAATCATTATATATTCAGTCAGTATTCAGATTTCCCCATAAATGTTCTTTTTCAGATGTTTTTTGAAATCAGGATCCAAATAAGAGTCAACCATTGTCATGGGTTATTGTGTGTCTTCGATCTCGTTTAGTCCGTGGATACTTCCCCTCATACCTCCCCCCTTTTTTTCTTGCATTTAATTTGTTGAAGATGCCTAGTTGTTGGTCCTAGACTTTCCTGTTATCAGCAAGTCTCCCCAGTATTCTCTTTAGCTACTGGGGCTGGGTTTTGTGCTCTTTACCATTCAGCTGACATTTTCCCTGGTGTTCCTTCAGGTCCTGTGTAAATGGTACCCTCGTGTGCAATACCACCCAGCTGTGGCACGGTGATAGAATCCTGTGGGGAAATAACCACTTTTTTAGGTAACATCTTTGTGTTCACTAATATTTTCATATACATTTTTTTCTGTTATCTGAGTGCAAAGCAAGTTGATTCTCTCTAATGGTGAAAAACCCCACAGAATTAATTTACCTAAGAGGAAACGGCGAGATTGGTTGAAAGACTTCGAAAAAGAAACAGGCCCTCCAGAGCATGACCTGGATGCAGCCAGTGAAGCTTCTTCGGAACCAGACTATAACTATGAATTTGCACAGATGGAGGTTATCATGAAAACACTGAATAGTAACGGTAAGCCCTCACTTCAGATTTCTTTGTCTTGGGCAGTTCCTTATCTCACAGCATTCAATGAGGGATAAGTATGTATAAAGTTATTGTGCCATCCTGAACACTTAGGCACAGCAAATTGCTAATTCCTTAAAAAGGCCATAAGTGAGGGGCTAATGAAAGTATTCCAGGACCTGGTCGGCTCCCTCAGGTGTAACCAGGAAGAGGGTGGGATCTTTTTGAGACCTCTTGTTTCCAAGCCAGTTGTGGTAAGATTTCCATGGTCCTAGAGTATTGAGTGACTGTGATGAATTTCTAATCAAATTTCCCCTTGTTGAGCCTATAATTTCTGAATCCTTCAGAGCATGAAAATCACCAGGAGAGTACTAATTCTGGAACGTCAAATAGAGTCTGATGGAGAGATAAAAGTCACAACACTTTACTATAAACTCAATTGGAAATGATACCTCCAAAGAGACTTATTTTTAAATGATGGCTAAAACAAAAGCCTTTATGGGCTGTTTGCTTGACCTATGCTCAGCCTGTCTCCGATCTTTAAGGAAGAGAGTCTCCTTAAAGCATTATTTCTAGTTCCCTCCTTCCAGAAGTTTTTCAATGACTATATTAAGGGTCTTCCTATCTGTGTGTAAAAGAAAGTTCTTTACCTCCTTTCTTCTTCTGTGCTCATACACACTTTTGTGAGTTCAGTAACATACACACCAGATTTTCCCCTTGCTTGCTATTTTATAAATCTGCTCCTTTCTTCCAGTCTTCCAGTCACCACACTTAGTACCTGGGAACTAGATGCAGAACAGGGAACTTCTCTTACTACCAGGCACAGACTGTATTTCTAAGACCAGGACTACTTTGCAGGGATATAGTTGAGGCTACATTCAGGAGCACCTGAGCAAGTTGGTTTCTGGACTTTGTCCAACCTCATTTTCCCATTCATCTGTTCTTTGGATACTTGCGAATCCCTAATTTGAATGAAGAAGGGAGCCCGGGAGCTCCGAGAGCCCTATGACGGGTAACCTCTATCTGACAGGGTGCTTAAAGAGTATTGTGGTTTTCACAGTCAAGCTTTCTCCTTAAATATTTATTTCCTCACTCTACTCTGAATAAGCCTATCTGGGGAGAATTTAAATGTGGCTAGTGAATTGTTGGTCAGATCTCTGGCATATCAAATTGGAGATTCTGTTGCAAGAATAAAGATTTTTATCTTTGGCTTTAGCTCGGTAGCTCAGTTGGATAGAGCGTCATCCCGATATGCCAGGGTTGTGGGTTTGATCCCCAGTCAGGGCACATGCAAGAAGCAACCAATGAATGCACATATAAATGGAACAACAAATCAGTGTTTCTCTCTCTCCTCTCTAAAATCAATAAATAAAAATTTTTAAAAATATTTTTATTTATCTCCTTGGATTTTCAGCCTCAAGGACCCCTCTTTTTAATTATAAAAATAGGTAAAATGAAGTAAAGGCCAGATTGAGAAACAGCACAATATAGCAATAGCAAAAAAGGAAGGGGAAAGATAACTTCATTACTAAAGTTTGATAATTTCTTCTTTTAAACATTGTTAATTACAGTTAGGGATTAAATTAGCTCTTGGAGCTTTTGACACTGCAGCACAGGGTGGACCACAGCTACAAATCACTCTTCAGTCCACTCTGCCACTTGCTCACCAGGTGGGAGAATTCCAGACATTCAGGCATGGGGATAACATTGACAGATCGTTTAACAACCTGTGTGAGCAACAGGCCTCTCTGGAATGATTTTTAGAGGCCTAGAGGGACACAGGGTGTGACAGGAGGCTATAGCTCCAAACTCCAGGTGGAGGAACTCCCATTCTATAATTCGAGGAGGTTGCAGAAATCTAGATGTCTCAATCCTGTAATTCTGCAGAGTATCAATCGAATCCTGTATCATCCCATATCACAGGTTTCTAATTTAATCTAATTACTACCTTCTTGCCATATGCATAGTGAACCCCTGAATAACCAATGAGTATTTAGTCAGCATTCATCAATTCCTTCAATCCTCGGCCAAACCAATTAGTCATCAGTGGCCTGGCTCGTGGCATTAACATGAGTTACTCATTTGTATTCTAGATCTGGCCTTGCTCTCCAGTGTTGATTTTGTCTGTTTAAAAGTAATGTTTTCCCCTCCCCTCCCCATGGATTACCCAATTTCATTGGTGAATGGGCTTCCCTGTGAGGCACACAGATGTGCTCTGGTGCAAGTACTGAAATGCGGGCGGCTGGACAGTGTTGACGCGATGCACCTCTGCTGCCAGGTGGCTTCCCGATGATAAGCCTGTCTGCCTGGTGGTCGTCCCCTTGGTGGTCCTATTTGAAGATTCTCTTCCCTCTCCTGTGGTTTCAGACGAAGCTGCTCCACAAACACTGGGATAAAGGTTTTAACTGATTGGCATTAGCATGAGGGAGCGTGACGGGGTTTTGGCGGTGCTGCTGAGCGATGCTTGTGCTCCATGCTTTGGCAAAAGCTAACGTGATTGGGAAGCTGACCTTTTCTGCCTGCCAGCGGTACTCTGTTTCTTGATTAAGGGATGTCCCCTTTTTAATTAAGACTCCTGCCTCCCCATGTTCCAGCTCCACTACTTTCCCCATGGTTAAAATCTGGTAGCTATTCTTTCCCTCTGCATCCAACAACACAACTGTTACTGGCATTATTGCTCCTGTTGCTGATGGTTTCATTACTGTTGACAGCTCGGCAATCAGAACATCCTATTTCTACATATACATTTACCTGCATTATCCCAGTAACAGACTAGAATAATGTCTTTTCAAGTCACTAGGGGAAATAATGATTGAAACTCAACTCATTCTAATTAAGAGGAAGAGCAAATCTAGTATCTGTAGACAATAATGCTTTCTTCCTAAGGGTTCAAAATTAGGAATCAGACACCCATCTGATTTCACAGAGTGGACGGGAGGTCTAAAGAGCAATTAAGGGGTGGTGAAGGGTCATATAGCCCACTTATTCCATCTAGGATTAAAAGGTTTTTTTCCCCAAAGGGATTTATTTCCCTTCAATTTAGTGCCTTGAGCTTCCTGGTGCGAATGAATCTTAATTCTCTTTATCACTTAAATGCCTTCCAACTACCATCACCTTCACCACCACTCTCTCTTTTCCATCTTGGGACAGACAAGTAAGTTTGAGTTCATTTCATTTCATAGTTACATACCAGGGAAACAATAAACTAATGAAGAGAAGTGCTCTGCCAAAGTCACTGTGGTCCTTTTTCTTTTCCTAAAATACCAACCTTTTGGTATCTTGGCCTTAGGCGCCAGGCTCACTGAGTTTTAAAACAGCTCATTCAATAGGAGGAAAGTGATAGGGGGAATTAAAACTGTGGACAATCTCTTGGTAGTTGATGGGTCATTTGAGAATAAACCAAATACTCTTTGGCTTCTGTCCTAGGCTATCTTATAGAGTCAGATGGACTTGCTGATTAGGGTGATCTTTTTTTAAAAAAAATATGGGTACTGATAAAGGCTTGAAACTGGTTAATTAATTTGAAAAGAAAATGTTATCAAATATATGTAAGAGAAAGGTGTTTCCAGACATGTGTAGGATCAGAAGTTTAAAAAGAATACCCTCAGCCGCTGTACCTCTACCAGGGCTGTGTGGCATGGCCAGACCCAGAATCCCAGGCAGGGCTCACCTGGCCAGCAATAGTGGGGCAAGTGCAGGGGAGGGATGCTTTGGGTGGCTCCGTCCTCCATATGTGCACATTGATTTGTGGCCACTGACAAAGCCTGGTGAGTGCTGGGGGTGTCGGTCATGGCAGCTGCTAAAGCAGTTTAAGCAGCCTCAGTCACATGCCTCTGTGTGGTGGGGAACCTTGGGGCAAAATCCCTCTGCTCAGTCATTTAGGATCATGTGCATTTCTACACACCACGGACCAACAAGTAGAAATAAAGATGAAATATCTTATTCAGTGTCTTTTAGCAAAAACCCTAGCATATAATTTTATACAATGGTGTGTTTTCCGGGTTTCTTTCTCTAGAAAAGATTCGCAAACACCAAGTTGGACTCTTGAAAATAAGGCTGTGCATAAATGTAAATGGATAATGAGGACCTTGTTCTTTACTTTTTAAACTTAAAATCTAAATAGAGCAACAAAATATACTATTTGAGAAATATATTTTTTTAATTCTAAGAGAACTTTCCTTCTCTAGCCCTTACAGCATCCCTCAAAAAAAAATTCACCATATTATTCACATTTTTTTGGAAGTTTTAGGTTATGTTAGTTCTAATGCTTTGGGGTACATATATTTTTACTCTATAGGAAATGTCCACTCAGAGTGTGCCTTTCTGTAGGGTCTTTTATTTTTTTTTTTTTTGAACTCTTATGTCAGGACTCTATAAAGAAAACCATTCTGAGAAAACTGTGGTACATCTACACGATGGAATACTATGCTGCTGTTAAAAAGAAGGAACTCTTACCATTTGCAACAGCATGGATGGAACTGGAGAGCATTATGCTAAGTGAAACAAGCCAGTCAATGAAGGAAAAATACCACATGATCTCACTCTTTCGTGGATAATTAAGACCATTACAAACTTTCGAACAATAATAAATACAGTGGCAGAGCTGCCTCAAACTGATTGTCGAACTGCAGTGGGAAGGCCAGGGAGGGTTGGGGGACAGGAGGGAGGGGAGTAAGAGATCAACCGAAGGACTTGTATGCATCCATATAACCATAACTAATGGACATAAGACACTGGGGGGTAAGGGAGGGCAGGGGCTTGTCAAGGGTGGGGGGGGGGGGAGGACACTTATGTAATACCCTTTGTAATACTTATAGCGAAAAATAAAAAAAATAAATAAATTTAAAAGACAAAAAAAAAAAAGAAAACCATTCTGCTTTGAAAAAATGCTGAATTTGAGAATTTTATATTAGCAAAGATATAACTTTTTTTTAAAAATACAGGGTGGGGCAAAAGAAGGTTTATAATTATGAGTATGTGAAACACAGAATTTATTCTTATATTAATAGTTATTGTTGTATTTTTTGTATGAATAATTATAAGCCTACTTTTGCCCCATCCTATATTTTTTAAGAGAGTACTAATTCTGAGCAAAACATTGGAGGTGAGAAGACTACTCTAATTTATTATTAAGTTTTTGTCTACCCCAGCAAGTTAGCTTTGGTCTGAGGTCAGATGCAAGCTTAGGTCAGCTACTTAACCTTCCTGAGCCCCAATGTCCTCATCTTTAAAGTGGAAATGATACCACTCTTAGGTTTTCTGCAAAGCTTTCATGTGATGATGCACGCATAGGGTATATCCCTCTACTTGAGATAAAGCCAGTAGCTAATAAATCATTATTGTCATTGCAGTTGTTATTTGTATTAAAACAACTTAATACACTGTGCATATTGTGATATTTTAATTGCTTTCTACTTTTGGTTTTGTATGATTTAACCTTATTTTTTTCATCTAATACGCTCTTTTTTTTTTCTTAATGCTCATGTAGAAAATTAGTACAACTTACACATTTATTTCCCAAATTGTTAAGGACCATCTGGAAAAGTAGCTATCATCAGGTATTATACAAAATCTTAATTTCCGACTCTTAGTTTGGAAGTTAAACTGAGAGTCAATATGTAGAAATACAACACAAATAGCACTGAGTGACAGGCAAGTGTGTTCATGTACAGGAGGAAGTTAAGCTCCAGGCTAGTCTGAGGATATGGGCACATCTCATCTAGGTCCCCTGTACTGCAGTGAAATATTTATGTGATGGTGGTTTTCCAGAGGGTTTAACATACTGTTTCCCTACGACCTACTTACTTAGAGATGCCAGTAACATTCTTTTTTGTATGTGTGGTCAGTGCCTTAATCTTTCTCCATGGCTTTGAGTTCATTAGTCGTTACCAAGTGAATGTCCTCCCTCAGCCAGTGAACTCCTCAGGACCAAGTCTTACCTACATCGCAGCCACCTCTAGTCATAGAATGGCCCTCTGAGCATGACCTGTCAGTATCTCTATGCCATTCACCCACGTGCACATTGCTGAGCTCTAGATCTGCAACAGCAAAAAGTCACAAAAATAGCCTTTTATTTTTGTAAATGAATTACCCTCTCAGTTATTAGCACCTGAGAAATTGCCCGACCCTATACTCAATCAATATTTTGCTATGATCTATAAATTTTGTTCCTCTCCCATTAGAGAAATTCAGGAGTAGAGTGATTTGTGGTTAAAATCAGAAATATAAACCCTTTGTCATGTACCAAAACTGAATGCTAAATGGGCATAAAAATTCACTACCATAACAATCAAATCTTGTGTGGCTGTCTATGCCCTTGTCCTCGATTTCATGATGTTTTTCCCCAGTGTATAGGACACCATCCCCTTCTCCACTTCTCTCTGCTTATAGTAGGTTAATGACCTAACAATAGGACGAGCTCATCAAATTGAAGAAAGTAACATGTTTACATATAGGAAATTTATCTAAAATGTTAGTGAAAAGGAAACTGAGAGGGTTCCATCTGACAGGGCCGCTCAGGCCTCTCTCAGAAGCACAAGGAAAGGCCAGATTCTGGGGGAGGAAGTCGATGATTCTTGCTGAAGCAGCACAGGCAGGCACCTGTCTTAGCCACCACTGAAGACACCTTGCCTTGTCCCTTGGCTCACCAGACCCAGTTCAAAATGTGGTGCAGGTCCTGGAGAAACAATACCTGGAAGAGAAGCGGAGTGCGCTTGAGGAGCAGCGGCTCATGTATGAGCGGGAGCTGGAGCAGCTCCGCCAGCAGCTCTCCCCGGAGAGGCAGCCCCAGAGCAGCAGCCCCGACCGCCTGGCCTACAGCCAGACAGCTCAGCAGAAGGTGACCCAGTGGGCAGAGGAGAGGTAAGAATGGAACCCGGTCAGCCAGAGTCGAGGCTCAGGGCCGTGGGGCTTTGAGGGAGGATTGTGAGACATGTAAAAGGGGACAGACCTGGCACAGAGAGAAATCTTAGTCCCATATCTGGGTTGTTAGCAATTGGCTTTCCTTCCCAAGGATACTGTCCATCCTAGTATGTTTGTAGTTAGTTGTTAAAGACACACCACCACCCTCTCACCTGCAGTAAAAATGGTCCCAAGTTTGAAGGCTTAGACCAGCCGTGGGCAAACTACGGCCCGCCGGATCGGCCCGTTTGAAATGAATAAAACTAAAAAAAAAAAAGACCGTACCCTTTTATGTAATGATGTTTACTTTGAATTTGTATTAGTTCACACAAACACTCCATCCATGCTTTTGTTCCGGCCCTCCGGTCCAGTTTAAGAACCCATTGTGGCCCTCGAGTCAAAAAGTTTGCCCACCCCTGGCTTAGACAGTTAGGTATTAAAATGGAGGTAGAAATTTTCACTCCATTTGAATAATTCTTAGCATAAAAGCCTTTCTCCTTATTTTTTATTTCTCTTACTTTAGATTCTATTTAAATATAATTTAGTGTTAAGAAGTCTCTTAAATGTGAATTTTTTAAATTATGACTTTAAAACATTTATCTTAGCCAAAAAGCTGAGAAGCAGTGACTTTAAACCATTTATTTCAGAACTGAGGTAGCCCAGTGCTCAGTGGATAGAGCATTGGCCTGTGGACTCAAGGGTCCCAGGTTTGATTCCAGTCAAGGGCACATGCCTCGGTTGTGGGCTCGATCCCCAGTAGGGGGTGTGCAGGAGGCAGCCAGTCAATGATTCTCTATCATTGATGTTTCTAACACTCTCCTCCCTCTCCCTTCCTCTCTGAAATCAATAAAAATATATTTAAAAAAAAAAAGAACTGAGGTAGTAGTAGAAGAAATGGTAGTGATAACAATAACAACAACAACAAGAGCAATAAAATATTGCCAACTTCTGTGTTCTTACCACATCTAAACATGGTCTAATTTTATTTAATGCTCCTAACAGCTCTATGCCATAGGAATTATTATTTCTGTCTTGTAGATCAGGGAATCAGTTTAAATATTCTATCTCAATCACCCATCTAGTAAATGAAAAGCCCAGAATTTGAAAAAGCCAGGTGTGTCTATAGACCCATTAATAAACTCCTGTGTTATAATAATAATTAATAGGACTAAAGCAGCATCGGACATTTACTAATCATTTATCATGTGCCGGTCACTAAGTGCTTTACCTATATTTATCTAATCTTCACGTCTGCTGCTGTATTTTACCATTTTCACTCCCCATCTCACATGAGGAAACTGAGGCGGGGAGGTTAAATGACTTGCCAGTCGTTTAGCTAGTAAGTTGGGCCAATGAGATAAAAGGCAGAGCAATCTGACCTCAGATGTCCTACTCTAACTCTTGCAGTCACGCTGCATCTCTCTCTAGCAAAGAGGTGATTAACTTGAGCCATATCCAGGGAAGATGACCCCTGGGAGGAGAAAAGGGGACTCACTTAGAAACCAATTGCCGTTTCCTTTGCTTTTCCATTTTCTCACGTCCTTTTCTGCTACACCACAGGGATGAACTCTTCCGTCAGAGCCTGGCAAAACTGCGCGAGCAGCTAGTTAAGGCTAACACCTTGGTGAGGGAGGCAAACTTCTTAGCCGAGGAAATGAGCAAACTCACTGACTACCAGGTGACTCTGCAGATCCCTGCTACAAACCTCAGTGCCAATAGAAAGGTGAGAATGAGAGCAAGGTGTGCATTAGTGAATCCTGTAAGATGGACTGTAAACCTGACCTCCAAGATAACCTCCCCAAGGAGATCCGCAAGTGAGCCAGAGTTCTCATTCTTCTTGAAACTTCTGCTACAGACCTTCACTTGTATATATGCCCTTAGATATGTGATGATCAGAATATGAGAATTTGGGTGGCCTGAAGGGGTTGCTAATTTAAATGCTTTCTTTAAAACTAGAAATATGTATAAGTAATCCCACCTGCTTGTCTCTTTTGTATAAATGCCCCCTTCTGAAATGAGGGTTAGGTGTATGTTTTGTTGCAGTATCAGTTTCAGAATTAATTCTATAAGAAAGGAAGACTGGTATGCTAACTGTCTTTACATTCACAGAGCACTCTGCAACCATTTGGATGTTTCCCATCAGTTCAACTTGAAGATTTTTCTCTTTAAGGAGAACTTTGAAAAAGAATAGTTTTTTATCCATTCATTGTCAAGCCAGAAATGAGTAAGGGAGTGTCTCATCGGTCTTCTGGGTTGTAGTCATTTGACCAAGTTCTTCTCCTTTGAGAAATGTGTCCTCAGTCCATGGTCATAGAAGTGAACTTAAAGCATAAACATGCTTTTTGTATAAGGATGCTTATCATAGTGTCCTTTATAATAGCAAAAATGTGAGACAGCCATAATATTGAACAGGAGAATAGTCAAATAAGTAGTCCATCCAGATAATGGATAGCTGTGCTACCTATAAATTCATGTTTATGAAGAATCATGGACACAAGAAGATGACCATAATATGAAAACTGTAGAGAGAGAATTGAAATAGGAAATTTATATTTTGTTTGGTTCTGCTTTTGATAAAAATTAAGTGTGTGCCTTGATATACATAAAAGATGGAAAATAAACCAAAGTATTCTGTAGGTGGTAGGATTTCATCTTTTGTATATATTATATTTCTTAAACTTGCTACTTTACAATAATGTGTATTGCTTTAACAATCCAAAAAGTTATAACAAGTTTGTTTTGTTTGTTTTGCTTTTGCTTTCCTTTGTTCTGCAGAGAGGAGCAATAGTGAGTGAGCCAGCTATTCAAGTGAGGAGGAAAGGGAAAGGCACGCAAGTTTGGACCATTGAGAAGCTGGAGAATAGATTAATTGATATGAGAGACCTTTATCAAGAATGGAAGGAAAAAGTTCCCGAGGTAAAAAAGATAAAATGTAAAGGAGACTTGGTCATGTTAGAAGCAGAAAGTATAAATGATTTAATTGTCAGAACACAGACACGCACACTCATGTGCACACACCTGACAATCATTGTATTGGTGCTCTGGACATGTAGATTAAAACAGTAAAGTAAAAGTGATCTTGAAAGGAATGCTAAGTTGGCTCAGTAACATAGCATGTGATCCCTACACAGATAGAACCAAATGAAGAGAACACAGTGCATTCTTACTTGGCTGCATTTTTTACTACATTTTAAGTGAAATAACGTGGAACAGAATTTGTGCTGCTGCGTCAGTGTTGTGAGAAATCAGCTGGATGGAGTCTGTGCAGATTTTATATTCATTAGCATATGTTCATGCTCCCCGAGCTGTGATCATGGCTGGGTAGATTCCTATGAATAACTTTAGAGAGCGTAATTTCACTTTTTGGGCATTATTAATCAAAACGATTCGGTGAAGGAAATGAGGCAAAGCATGGGGAGTGAAATGAAGCAGGCTGCAAGTGGGGTGTGATAGGGAAGATGAGGCAATAACTGTAGAAGGATCCTCTACACCGATATCACTTAGTTCCCCAACTAACAATGTGCTAATTTTGTTTTATTTATGTGATGTGATTCTAATTTACTTTTTAAATTTGTTAGAATAAATGCTTTTTAAAAAATTGTTAATGCTAGTTTTAAATCATTTTATTTCATTTTGATGTGTTATTTCTTTCTCTGCTGCCTACGTGCCTCTCCTATCATTCAGGCAAAGAGACTTTATGGGAAACGAGGTGACCCCTTCTATGAAGCCCAAGAGAATCACAACCTCATCGGGGTGGCTAATGTGTTTTTGGAGTGTCTCTATTGTGATGTGAAACTTCAGTATGCAGTTCCTATCATCAGCCAGCAGGGGGAGGTAAGGACAAGCCAGCGTCAGAGAAAATGATGGTGGTTCAAGTTTTTGTTTTGTTTTGTCTTTCTATTTAAGTTCTTGAGGTTGATTCAGAAACTAGGCAAAAGAGTCACAATCCTCATTCTCTTTTCTCTACTAATATCAATAGAAACTATCAACCTTAAGTCATGGTTTTAAGAATATTATAACACATTTTATATTTTTGTTTCATAAGTTTTTTGTTTTCATCAAATTAGAAATCTTTGGAAACCAGATTCTGCTCTGTGCCCCGCATTCATTTCTTTTAACCTCTTACCTCTGTGATACTCTAGTTCCCCCCTGGCCTCTGAGTGGTCTTTACAAGATTTGAAACCCAAAATATTCAAAGGAAACAAGCTTCATTATCCCATTGTTACCCCCTTTTATTATTTTTTATTTTTTGGTTAATCCTCACCCAAAGATATTTTTTCCATTGATTTTTAGAGAGAGTGGGAAAGTGGGGGCAGAGAGAGAGATCGATCGATTCCCTCCTGCACACACCCTCATCTGGGCCCTTGACCGGGAATCGAATCTGGATCCTTTGGTCCTCAGTCTGGTGCTTTAACCACAGAGAAAAACCAACCAGGATTGTTACCCCCCCTTTTAAACTCTCATATTTCAGTTATTTAGATATATGGCCTTATTTAGGCCTAAGACATTTCAGAAAATGTTCAAGTTCAGACTTTTTTATTTTTTTCATTCCATCAACTGATGTTTTAATTTTAAGTTTAACCATATCCTTATTTCCTAGTTTGTCCTTCAATAACATGCAAGGTTATTTTTTGTTATATTTAGAGCAGGCTTAGTTAGAATAGGATGCCATTCTGCCTAAAGCAAACCTAGAAAATCAACCCTAGATTCCCAGTTGTGGTGTGCAAGTACATAGCCTACCTTCTACATGTCGTAACACCCCCTACCCCCCTCAACCCCCCATGAACATTTTGCTTTGGAAGACCAGTGGGCTGGAGTTGCTTTTTCTCATGTTAAAAATGGGCACAACTCCTGTGGCAAAGGGATCCAATGGCTAAGTCAGGGTTCTTAAGCTAGAGTCCATGGAGGGCTTTAGAGTTCTAGGAATCCCCTGAAATTATATTAAAAATGTATTAGATTCGCCCTAACTGGTTTGGCTCAGTGGATAGAGCTTTGGCCTGTGGACTGAAGGGTCCCAGGTTCGATTCCAGTCAAGGGCATGTAACTTGGTTGCGAGCACATCCCCAGCAGGGGGTGTGCAGGAGACAGCTGATGGATGTTTCTCTCTCATCGATGTTTCTAACTCCCTATCCCTCTCCCTTCTTCTCTGTAAAAAAGCAATAAAATATATTTTTTAAATGTATTAGGTTCTCAAAAAGCATTGAAAAAAGCTTAAGAATCACTATCTTCTGATTTCTCTTATTCACTCCCTCCCCCTTACTACTTCCTCATATTTGTCTGCCTTGCCAAATACCATCAGCCACTATCTCCCAGGTCCCTGGCACCAGTGCACATTGCTGTGGAAGTTGGGTCTGAGCTACGTTTAAAAACAAGCTCACTATTTAAGATGACAGTGGCTCGGCCAGAACATGTGTTACCCTTCACAGCTGCAGTGATTACAACCTTACGCTGTTGTATAAAAGATAACTTGGCCAATTACAACTCTGGGAATGCAAATTTCAACAATTTTGATTTGTTTCTCTGCAACAACTTTAAGAGAGATACTATTAAACTAGCACCGATTCTGAGAACCCCCAGGATAGTGAGGATATTTTAAGCCCATTTTTTTGAAAAACCATTTTAAAGGAACTGTTTCCTTCTAACTCCCTGGCTGTGTGTGTGCTGTTTCTCTTGGAGTCGGTCTCACCCCTCAGCTCCAGTGGGAATGACAGCCCATTCTCTACTCCCAGGAGAATAGAAACTCCCCGAGCCCAGTGACCACGTCTGTTTGTTTCACTGTTGTCAATACAACACTTAGCGCAGTTCCTGGCACGGTGTCAGTTCTTGGCAAATAGTTGTTGAGGTGATAAATTTATTCCATAACAACCGGTACATCATCTCTGTTGTAGCAGCTAGTCTACACTGTTGTTATTGGGCTTTTACTTCTCTGTCTTTCCCCACTTGACTGAGTGCCCTGACAGCAGAGTCTGCGTCTTTATTTTGGTATTCCCAAGAGGCCAGGTATTTGATAGCATGAGTAAGTGAACTAATATATATACACATGGAAAATAGGTGACTCCAGGTAGAATATGATAGTAGTCTTTAAACTGTGTGTTGGCTATCCTGTACAAGAAGGGTAAGAATGAAGATGACTCCAGAAGGCAAGTTACAGGCAGGTGAACTTGGCTCAGAGTCAGGCAGGATGATTGGAGGGGCAAGCGTGGAAAGGACTGGCTCCGGGAGTGCTGAGCTCCTCCTTGCTGGAGATGGACGAGTGATAGCTGTGCAGCTGCTCATCGGGATATTGTAGAATACTTTCTGTCTCCGTCTGTGTTGTCCACGATGCCTTTTAACCCCACGTCCTCTGGTCCCCTGACCCAGGTTGCAGGGCGTCTCCACGTGGAAGTGATGCGGGTCACAGGGGCTGTCCCAGAGCGCGTCGTGGAAGACGACTCCTCAGAGAACTCCAGTGAGAGTGGGAGTCTTGAAGTCGTAGACAGCAGTGGGGAAGTCATTCACCGAGTCAAAAAACTGACATGCCGGGTGAGAGGACAGTGATGGGAGGCTCAGAAAAATGACTTCTTAATTCAAAACAATTTCATAGAAAATTTTGAGTTTTTCACAGAGCATAGTAGAAGTTAAACTTTCTGGCAATAAATACAATGATGAACAGTCCTTTTTCCAGAAGTATAGCACGCTTTCTGATGACCTGTGTGTGGTATTTCAAAGGGCTGTGTATTTGGCATGAAAGGAGTGTATGTATGCTGTTAGTTTAAGCATACTTTTCTAGTAGAGGTTGTATCTATATCAGAAACTCAATTACTGGGAAAATTTTAGAGCATTGTATGTATTTGTTGCCAAGTTTATATGCTAGTTATAGAACTACGGTACAGATTTCATTACAGATAGAACCCTAATGAAGCGGTGCCAAATATTTTCAGATGTCAGGTGGATGACTGATTATTTCATCGCTTAATCTTAAATTTGGGGAAGTTGAAATAAGAAAAGAATGCATAGTTTAATGTTTTCTTTATGGAAGTTATAGTTGCATTTTTAAAAATCTGTCTCTTCAGGTAAAAATTAAAGAAGCAACTGGGCTGCCCTTAAACCTCTCGAATTTTGTCTTCTGTCAATACACATTCTGGGACCAGTGTGAGTCCACAGTGGCTGCCCCAGTAGTGGACCCAGAGGTGCCTTCCCCACAGTCCAAGGATGCCCAGTATAGTGTGACCTTCTCTCACTGTAAGGTATGAAATGAGTTATGTGGGAGGCAACAAATCTGGGTGTAGTTTAAAAGGCTACTTGTACTTTAGAAATTTTCCCCATAAAAATGTTTTATAGACTTAATATGTTTATTAGGCTTTATAACCTCAAAGTGTACTTCAATATAATTTCAAAAAATTTAAAAGTATTTAAAATAAAATCTGAAAAACCTATACTCGATATCATACTCTCCAGCGGTGTGATGACCAATGACAATTTGCTACATATTTTGATAAACTATTTTCTGTATTCCACAACATTTATATGTGTGGTAAACATATGCTCACAAAGATGAATGGGCATAGATACACACTCTTAATGTCATGCACACAACTTCTTAAAACACTTTTTTACAAAAATGTGATTATATTATACATATTGCAAAATTATATCTTGTTACTTTGATATATGTGGACATCTTAACATGTAAGTTGCTGTAGATATTTTCATTCTTTTGAAAATAGTGTAGAATTCTAAGCATAGCATTCTAATGTATCAGATGAGGGTTTTTTTTCATCCTTGAGTTTTTTGTTTTCGTTTTTTTTTAATCAGTATGTCTTTTATTTTATTTTATTTTAATACTAGAGGCTGATGCACAAAATTCATGCAAGGGACTCGGCCCTTGCAGCCTCGGCTTCGTCCGGAAGGATGTCTGGATGTCCAGTCTAATTAGCATGTTATGCTTTTATTATTATATATGTTTTTATTGATTTTCCAGTGAGAAAGAGAGAGAGATAGAGAGTTAGAAACATCCATGAGAAACATTGATCAGCTGCCTCCTGCACGCCCCCTACTGGGGATCAAGCCAGCAATCAAGGCACATGCTCTTGACCAGACTAGAACCTGGAACCCTCCAGTCCACGGGGCCGACGCTCTATCCACTGAGCCAAACCAGTTAGGGCTACCATATGAGTTTTGAAAGAAAATATAAAATGGGAAAAGAAAATTTTGGGGGAATATTGCATAAACCTACTTTGGGACATTAGCTGCCCTTCTGGTTTTCACATTGGAATGCCAACAAGTCATTTTCGACAGACAGACTCTATTTTCTGTGTAATTTTGTTTTTCCTTGGACAATCCTCAATAGGTACTCAAGACCTTTTATTTATTTTTTTGTAAACTGCCTATTCCTTTTAGTTCTACAATTAGAAAACAAATCCATATCACCACCTATAAAATTTCACATATGTAAAGACTATCAAGTCTTTCTTTTTCTGAAAATAACCCACATTTATTACCTGTTCTCACCAATCTGTTTCTCAAATTTTTCATTAATCATTTTTGTTTCTGTATTCCCCGTGTTTCTTTGGATCTACAAAGCTGCTATTTAGCAGGAATGATAAAATCTGAATTTCAAGTGCATTCTAGTTAACAGCTGGTTTAGTAAATACTGGTCTCAGGGCCCCTGGAATCATTATGTGCCCTTGGGTTTATTTCATCTTTAAAGTGTGTAGATTGTACTAATTGGTCATTAAGTTTATTTTTCTTCTGAAATGCTTGCTCTTTCTCTAAGGGAAATGAATAAGACGGTAAATAATGTGAGGTTGGATCAGCTCTTGCCAGAAGTTAGTCACAGAGTTGTGTTCACCCAGGATTCCTCTGAGCCGTGAATGGAAAGAAAATTGGCTTTGTTCCCTACTACTCAGTCAGTTAGGACTCATTTCCTCACAGTCATATGTTTGTGTTTTAAATGAGGAATTGGGGTAGGAGAGTCTAGGAGCAAGAGCTCAGAATCATGATGATGATCATGTAAAATGTTATTAGTCTTCTACACCATAGCAAGGACCAATCAAATGTTCCTTTTTTGATGTGCTTACTGGTCTATGCCAGCTGAACGTCAGAGCAGCTGGGGAGCTATAAATGATGAACCAGGACTGAGGGAACGTAGAGTCAGTCAGCTCTGTAACTAACAAGCCGTATGACGTGGAACAAGTAGCATTCTTCATTGTCTTCATTTATAAAACAAAGGGGTGGGGTTAAATTACCTCATAATATCACTTTCAGATTTTATATTATTTTTTCTTGATGGTGTTCTATAAGACAGTAGAGATAGTTTTTAAGATTGGGATCGAGTTAATATATAGTACTCCAAAGTGAATCTATATAAAGTTAAAAGGAAAAAATGTCACAGATTTCTTTATGTATAATTTTTGTCGCTCTGTCTTTCTTTCCTCCTGCTTACCCCAGGACTATGTGGTGAACGTAACCGAGGAATTCCTGGAGTTCATTTCAGATGGAGCGCTGGCGATTGAAGTGTGGGGCCACCGGTGTGCTGGAAATGGTAGCTCCATCTGGGAGGTGGATTCTCTTCATGCTAAGACAAGAACGCTGCATGACAGGTTCGTACTTTCCTGTGAGCTTCAGACACAGGGCCAAGAGTAGCACTTGGACAATAGTTAAGAAAACGGATTCTCTGAGCCTGTTTCCTCATTTGTGAAATGAGAATGATCAAAGGAACTACTGGGCAACAAAGAAATTCAGTGGGGAAAGGAAAATCTTTTCAACAAACAAGACTGAAAAATTGTATATCAATATGGGAAAAAAAAACTTCGATTTTTACTTCACAACATACACAAAACTACATCACCGTAAATATAAAACTGTAAAGCTTATAGAAGAAAACAGGAGAATATCTTCTTGTAAAGTCAATCATTTGCCTGTTCTATGACCCAGCAATGCCACTCCTCAGTATTTACCCAAAAATATGAAAACAAGCAGACTTGTACACACAAGTGTTTATGACAACTCTATAATATCCTAAACTGCAAATAATCCAAGTGTCCTTCAATCTGAGAATAGATAAACAAATTGTAGTAGTATTCATATAATAGAATAGTACTCAGAAATTTAAAAAAGACTATTGCTATCCATTTAACTGAATTTCAAAAACATGCAGAACCAAATAAGCCAGACCTAAAAGAGTATATACTACTACACGATTCCATTTATATGAAGATCTAGAAAAGGCAAAACTAATCTATGAGCTTACATGGCTGCTGCAGGGAGGGGTGGTTGTAGGGTGAATGGGAAGGAGCAAGAGCAACTTTCTGAGGTTAACGGTGGGATAACTTACACAGATGTATGCATTTGTCAAAACTCATCAAACTCTGTGCTTGAGATCTGGCATTTCACTGAATGTAAGTTACACCTCAATAAAAAATAAAGAACGTACACCAAAAGGTTTTGAGAGTTAATAGAAAATAGTGTATGCAACATCTATGGCACAGTGCCGAACACATAGTAAGTGGTCAGTGAACGGTGGCTTATTCCTAATAGAGTCCCTGGGCAATGAGAGTGTTGTATGTTGGAATGCGTTCTGCAGGTGGAATGAAGTGACTCGCAGAATAGAAATGTGGATCTCCATATTAGAACTGAACGAGTTAGGGGAATATGCTGCAGTGGAGCTTCACCAGGCGAAAGACGTCAACACTGGAGGCATCTTTCAGCTCAGACAGGTACTAAGATTGTTTTGGTCTCATGGTTTCTTTGTCCCACACTAACACACAGTCTCTGGAATTTTTGCATTATTTGACTCTTTGTTCCCTAATTTGTTTCCCTTCCTTTATCCTCTTCCCCCTTCACTCCCCATTCCCATTCCTGGCACCCATTTCCACATCACTCCCTCATGGCACCCTCACCTCTACAGGGTCATTCCCGGAGAGTGCAAGTCACAGTAAAACCTGTACAGCATTCAGGGACACTGCCACTTATGGTTGAAGCCATCCTGTCAGTATCTATTGGCTGTGTGACTGCCCGGTCCACCAAGCTCCAAAGAGGGCTGGACAGTTACCAGGTAAGACCAACAGGTTTGAAACAGTATTTAACAAAGATTGATTAATGCAGAATTAAGGAAGTTTGTGATCTGTGATGGAGACACCTATTTGGGAATACAACAGAATTCCTTGCCTTAACCATCTATTTGTCCCTGCCCTCATATTTCCATCCATTGCCCTTTTTCTAGATTTAAAATACAATATTGGCTTAGTGTTGATTAATAATTACTTTATTCATAAATATACATTTTAATGCTACAGTATTCATTTATTTTAGGCAGGTTTTATTTTACATTTGGTCCAAATTATGTTGGATATTTGACATTGCTGCCTGGCCTGATCCACTTTTATTAACATAAAATTGCCCCCATACACTGGCATAAATAATCAGTTCTTTAAAAGCTTTCTTTAAAAAAAAAAAATTAAAATTTGTCCTGATCATTTTTGTCCGTTAATTCTCCACTTGCTAAATCTTGTGTTTTCATTTTTAAAA